AGGTGGGGGGTGGTGAGGAGGTGGTGGTGAGTGGGGGAGACCCTGGACACAGCCTTCTCTGCAAACCTTCCTCTGCACACAATCTGGGCCACACGGGACACCTGCAGAACTTGTGCACATGTGTACCCGTGTGCACCTCATACATCCCCAGACAGTCACTTGCTGTTCCAGAGCTAAGGATGCCAGCTGGTGAGGGTGACTCCCCTCATGCCCTGGATTCCCTCACTGGTGAATATACTGTGAAACCTTGTCACCTGGCTGGTGGCTCTCCTACCTTTAGAGATGTGACAACATTCAGGACATGGTTCTGCATGTACAAAACTAATGACATAATCACAAGGATCTGCCCTTACAAAAATGAAGTTTATCTCAGCATCATCTCATTAGGGACACACAGAACCCTCTCTGGGCCTAGAACCCACTCCAAATTCTGATAGATGACCCCTGGCACCACCCTGAAGGCCACCTGCCTGGGGGACACCCCGCATGGTCTTCATTGGGACTCTCGGCTCTGCAGGAGCATCTTCCTCTCGGGCTGTGTGGCTCCAAGACACTCTCCACAGAGTCCCGAGAGCCAGGCCACTGTGGTGACAGCAGCCCAGACTATGACCCAGACAGTGTCCTTGGGTGGCCCAGCCCAGGTATCATGTCTGCATTTCTATTTCCTCGAACTCTGTGCAGCACTGGGCGTGAGAGGCGTCTCACCTTGGCCTCCCCAGCAGTGCAGGTGCAGAGTACATGGAGTGTGGAAAATGCTGCCATTGACACTGTGGGAGAGAAGAATCATGTTCACCTGAGGCTATGCCACGTGTGTGGGTGTGTGTGACTGTGCATGTGAGGAAAAGAGTGGACACACAGCTGTGCATGCCTTGGAATTTGGACATTGGCATGGCTTTATTGGAATTTAGTTTTCTAATGTCCGATGGAAGTTAGGTGGCAAGAAGATCTAGGAATATGGTGTAAAGGGTGGCAGTGCACATGAGTCTAAACCTAGACCACTGGATTGGTGATGGCTACTGAAAGTCTGCTTTAGTCCCAGCTCACTGGACTCTGAGGTGGACAGATGCAAGATTTCCTACTCCTGCCTTCCTCGTCAGCATGGTTAGAAGCTACTGGGGGAGTCAGTGTGCTGAAACTTCCTTAAAACACACATATGTAGTGACATGCATATCCTTAAGCTAAGTCATTAACACTGTAGTATGAACAGTCATACGTTTTTCTCTACTCCTAGCACTAATATTGAAAGAAAGGATGGAAGCAGATGTCCTAAATACTGTCCACGATGATAAAAGGCTGGCATGGGCACGCAGGTGGGTACAGGGTGACATGGCACAGGGCAGCTGGTGAGGGTGACTTTGCCCAGCTCAGCCCTGTTTCAGCATCCTTGACAAAGACATGCTTGGGCATACTTAAGAGAATTTCAGTAGTTCAGCCACTGGGTGGCATCATGCATCTAGCTCAGAGGTTGCCTTAAAGACATTCTGGTCCCCCACTTAGGTGGGGCTTCTGAGGTCAACACTACTGAAAGGTGCTGGCAGCTAGCAGCGAGCGTCTGGCTCTGCATGACCTGAGGCCACTTAGGGGAGGGCATTGGAGCTGAGAGGACACAGCATGAACGTGAAGGGTAATATCTGATGGTCCATGGCCCTCTGGGCTCAGCTGTCAGAGCCCCCAAACCTCAAGTCCCTGGCCTTGGTTTCCTGCTAGCATGCTTCCCCCACTTAGCCTTTTATTCTGCTTCATGAATAAAACGCTTGCTTGCAAGGCGCTGCGATGGGACAGAAGCCCTGGCAGCACGGCCATGCCTCAGTGGGATGTGTACGGAGCTGAGAGAAGACAGAGCCCCTGGGACACAGCATGTCTGTAGTGAAGTCCAGCCTCAGCTGTGTGTTTGGAAAGGGCTGGGTAATTGCAATGGATCATTTTCCTGTCCTAGTTCTCCATGAATAAATAGGACTGACCATTTTCTTAATTTGATTATGGCAAACACTGATATCATGGCTGGAGAACTGTCCGCACAGAACTCTGGCAATGCTTTCCTTAAGCATCTGGTCATTACAAACTGCTGTGTCATCGGTGTCCTGGCAGTCACCGAGCACCGAGTTTGCGGACTGCTCCAGGCCCTCCCTGGGGTCTCTGTTCTCTGATGCAGGTTAGGATCAGCTAACGAGCACTTGAAGGGCGCTGGGAAGAGACTCACTGGTCAATTTACAGGCAACATCATGGGGAGAATGAGGCTTTAGTGGATGCAATTTAGGATCGCTCTGGGCTGAAAGTTATGTTAAAGACAGATAGCGTTGCTGGGGTTTCTCCCAGGACCAGTATTAAATTAGGGATTTTTATGGGCCCAGTGAGTTGCAGAGAATGATGTTTCTGTTAGGTTTGGGGGGGTTATTGCTTTTCTACGCAACCTTATTAGCATTCTGCTGTCCCCAGCTGTGGCTCCAGTTCCCCTCCAAGGTGAACCACTTTTCAGCCTTGGTGGGGACTCCAAACAGTCTGCACTATGGGAACAAAATGCCCCCCACAGTCCTGCCATGGGAGGCAGACACATGTGCAGAGTTTCAGCCTCCCTCTGCCCCCAAATGAGAGATGGAATGCTGCTACCCAGTGGGGACAAGCCCCCCTCTGGGAAGTCCTCCCCAGCTCCCCATGCAGTTATGCACCCATGATCCCTACCCTCCTTTCCTGTTGTAGTTCACACCAGAGGGGTTGAGGGGCCAGGAGTGTGAGGCCCAGCTCCAAGTTCCAGCTCCATAGACACTGCCTCACAGAGTTGTTGAAATGAGAGATATGAGTACTTTTAAACCATTATGAATGCATCTCACAAATACTGCGTATATTGCTGTTTTTATGATGTGTTTGGATATTTTAAGTTTCTGCAAGATATCTAGGACCCAGTTAGCTCCCAATACATTTTTGTTAAATAAATAAAATGGATTTTATCTCCACCACTTGGTGTCTCTCCATTAACCCTTATTTTGTCTTGGGAAAGCACATGGGACAATGCGACAATACAGGCTCTCCCACTCGGTGAACAAATAACTAACCAGGGAGTTAGATAAAATGTAACGCTGGGGCCACACCACCAAGATTCTGATTCAGCAGGTCTGAAACAGGGACAAAAAAGTAACCCTGATTGCGAACCCAGCAGGTGATCAGGAGAAGCCAAAGGTCATCTGTGCAGCCTGGTGCCTGATTGTAGAGGGCTGCAGACAGTGACGTCAAAACACAGAGAACGGGAGGAAGAAGATGGCGGCGATATAGGCAGACGCGTCCCAGGTCGTGTCCCGGAGCAAATGGAGTGAGCAGCTGAAACTAATAGCACCCACCCTGAATTGGTGAAATTGCTCAGCTGGTGAGACAGTTTGCAGCCGGGAAGGGCAGAACTCCCTTGGAAAGGAACAGCAGCTGTACGAGAAACCGCCCGCCACCAGCCAGAAGAGCCACCACAGCTGTGAACAGCACCCACCAGAGGAGCTGCCGTCAACTGAAGAGCAGCTGCTTCCGCAACCGCCTGAAGAGCAACCACAGACCAAGGACTC